CTCTCCCCCTCTCTCTCTCTCTAACACACACACACACATGCCCATTCTCCCCGCCAATAAGACTTACTCAATTGGCAATAATGTGTGGACTTGTGGTGAGCTTGACTGAACTAATGGATAGTGTGATATATTCCCCAATCATTTAACAATGAAATTTCAAAAATGGGAAGATTATGTAACACCTCAAGTCGTTAGCTACAGTGACCTCCCCCTAATGATGCCATGTCATCAGGCTTGCTAAGCCAAACTGCCACTCGATAAAAATCAAAGCCCAATTCAAATTTAAAATAAAGTCAAATAAATTATTTCGTCAAACAGTAAAACTAAAATGTTCACCATATTCTGTAAATTCCACGGATCTTTGACATGTTGAGCCCAACATTATTTGACCCAGAAATTAAATCTTGTCAAATTAATAAAAGGTCCAACATTAGTTAAAATAACCAATTAAATATAAACAAATTTTATGTATTTCCTTTTGGCCCCAAACTTTTTGTGCCACCTAAAAATATTGTGCTCACATTGTGTGCATAGTTTCACAATTAACAAAATCAATTTAGTTGATATAAGAATAAATAGAAACGGTGTTAAAAAGGAGAAACGGATTAGAATACATTAAAAACCAAAAGGACGATGAAAAGGGGGATTCCCCCTACCCCCGGGCCTTGCCACCGAACCGGACCAGTAGTCCAGTCCCCGCATGGTTGTCTTCTCCTGTTCCCCGAGCCCGTCGCTACAGAGCCGGGCTCCCGCCCGACCACCTCGCCGGCATCGAAGGGGAATGGATAAGGGTGACGCCCTGCCTCCCCTGCCCCCATGGCCTCACTCCTCCTCGACGCCCCCTCCCAGATCCACTTCTCCTCCTCGCTCACTCGATCCCAGTGATCTGGACGAAGTCAGATGCCACGGCCACCATGACCGACCCCGTCCACATGGTCACTGCTCTCCCTGCTGGCTAGAAGCTTGTCGAGGAGCTCCGAATGCCTCCGCTACTTCGTTTGCACCAACGAGATCAAGTCCAGCACCCCCAGATCGACGGCGTTGTCGTCTTCCTCAACCTTCGGCCACTGTGACATTGCCGTTCGATCCGCGCCGCCCCGAGCTCCCCTGTCTTCCCCTAGGGCGCCATTGACACCGCCGTGATCTCCTCTTTCCTTTCCCCAGTTTTCCCTCTCGTTTGCTCTCGTTAGGTATTTTGCCGTGGCTGAGAACCGCTGTCCGCCATGGCCATTGCGGGGGTAGCCACTGAGCTCCTCGGATTGACCCCGTGGCACATGCCCGCCCTACGTGCGCCCATGCCCGAGCCTTCAGCTCTTCTTCCGCGCCCGCGGGGCCACTCCTTCTCTGGCTCTCCATGCCCACGCACGTGCCACACCACGTCCACCGCACCACTGTGCCCCACGTGACGCACATCCTGGCCGCGCGTCACACTCTCGCTGGCTGCGCTCGCCCCGTCTGCTGCCGCCTATCCCTTTGCTCGCGCCGCTGTCGCGCCCCTGCCTCACGCCGCCTCCTGTCGCGGCCATCTTCTGCCGGCCGCCCCCTCAGCCACGCCGGCCGCATCTCTGCCCTCCATCGTCGGCCGCTCGCCTCGCCTGCTGCGTGCTTCTTCCTACTGCTATGCGCTGCTCTACCACTGGTACGCTGTTGCGCCATGCCCTCGACACCGCCGTGGACAAACTTGGCGGAGGGATTGTCAATGAAGTACGAGGAGGAGGTGGCGGAGAAGGTGTGGAGAGGCAAGAGGTCTAGGATGGCGTCAGCTGGCTGTGGTGGAGGTGATTATGCAAGAAGGAGCCGGAGCGGAAGGAGAGGTCACAATTGGAAAGAATCACAAAAAAAAAATCATAACCCGGAGATCTCATTCCAAAAAAATGCTAATATCGATGGAGGGGTGATTTCCTTCAATAGGTGGAAAACATAGGAAATATTGGATGTTATCAAGGAAAGGTAAAAATTTAGAAAAGTTAGGATTTTGAACTGATTTCTATGTAAATGGGGTTTTATTGTTTGGTAACATGATATCAGTACCTTCCCGTTTGTGATGTATCTGATTAGGAAAGTTTGCAAATGTTAAGAAACTATTTATTGGGAGGAAAGTTTGTGACGTGTCTGTTATTTGTTTCCTAAAACAAATTTCACTAATGAGAGAAATCGATTGATTTAGATAAGTTAGGAAAGTTAGATTCAAATTTATTTGTTTCTTAAAAATTTCTTATTTGTTTTTTAAGACAAATTGAACCAATAAAAGGAATCGATTGATATAAATAATTTAAGGAAGTTAGATCCGTGATTTGTTATAGGAAAGTCCTGGTTGTAATAAAGAGTGGAGAGAAAAATAAACCAATGGACCAGGATGAGAGGGGGTGGTGGGAGGAGAGACGAAAAAAAGCCTGCAAAAATAAACCGTGTAGACTATTCACCAACTGCTCCATTAGGAGTAGAGATCAACAGGTGCATGTAAACTTGATCACTACAAATCTTAGAGGTTACATGTGTGAGGGCATAGATGCTAGTTGCTCAAAAGCAACACATGGTAGCATCCAAAAGTAGGCAAGGTTCATCACATCATATAGCAGGCTTATAAGTTCGTAGAGAGATAGATTAAATTCATAGGTGGCGTCTATCATTGCTGATGGTGCGTGTAGAGGCGATGCACGGTGAGGGCGAGGCGGGGCTTGCGATGCACTTGAAATGGAAGGCGTGGATGTCCGCATGCGACGTGATGGTATTGCACATCAGGGGGGCCAGCCGACGCGTGAGCGAGAAGTAGTTCAGCCAGCCGACGCGGGCCAGACTCGGCCCAGCACCGCTGGGACATATAAAAAATAGAGATATGGGCCGGCCGTTTTGCTTAGTTTTTCATTTCTTTTACATGTACGTCTTGGTTTCCAACTAAAACATAGTATGTAAAATTATTCAAAACGGGATGAAACAAAGCGAAACCAAACCAAAAATACCTATTCCCTTTAATAATAGGTATAGATGTCTCCTATGAAGGATTATCTCCAACCCACAAAGCATTTGTTGCTTCTCCTCAATCTATGTCAGTTCCAACTAACTGGAAGAGGGCAAAGGAGGACTCAAAGTGGCAAGTAGCGATGGTGGAAGAGATAGTGGCTCTGTGCAAGAACAAGACATGGATAGTAGCATCCCTTCCAACAGGAAAGAAGGCAGTCAGTTGCAAGTTGGTATACACTATGAAGCAAAATGAAGAAGGAAAGGTTGAAAGATACAAACAAGGCTTGTGGAGAGGGGGTACAGCCAGACATATGGCATTGAATACGCTGAGACCTTTGCTCCAGTAGCAAAGATGAACACCATGAGGATTCTGATCTCCTGTGCAACAAATTTTCGGTGGCCTTTACACCAACTTGATGTGAACAATTCCTTCTTGCACGGGGACTTGCAGGAGTAGGTATACATGGAGATTCCACCTGGGTTCTCGACGTCTGAGACTACTGGCAAGGTATGCAGGCTGAAGAAGGACCTTTACGACTGAAGCAATCTCCAAGAGCTTGGTTTGACAAGTTTAGGCGAGCGGTGTGTG